GCACAGCATACAAGTATAGACTAAATCGCCCGATTTGGAACAAAACATCTCATATTTGTTTGTTTGAAAATGGTTTGAAGGTGCTACTCACAAGTAGGCTAAGACGTGGATTTTGCCACCCTCAAGTGGGCTTAGAAAACTTGATTTGACACTCTCAAGTGGGCTTAAAACTCGCATTTCGTTGAATTGTTCCAATTCAAACAAAAAAGCCTTCATCCACAGGCATTCAAGTAATTATATCAATTAAGTAGTTAGCCTCATGGCAAGCATGCTATCATGGTAATCACTTACACGCATGCAAGGATGCTAAAGCAAAAAAGCTTACCTAGTACTCTGAGCCAAAACAGAAGCTAGTTAGTAATCAATGCATGATCCTAGCTATGTTAAGATGTCTAATGCAACACATGCAAAAATGCAACTAAAATAGGCTCGGCTATGTAGAATAGCATATGAATGCAACACTTGATAACATGCTTTGAAACACATATTCAAATAAGCATTGAGATACAATGTAGTTTGAATGATACGCCGAGCCCGGTGCATGCAAGACAAATAAATGATGCACGCATGCAAACATAAGTATGCTAATTGAAACATGCCCTAAAACTAACCATCAAAAGCTAGTAAATAAAAATGAGAAAGACGTGAGGTTGGAAGACATTTATCACACACACGCACACTTATTACAACAGTTGTGCCCTCTCGACTAAGGGTCTGAATAATAAGCTAACTAGCTAATCTAAGCTAATTAAACTAATTATTACAAAACGAAACTAATTAACTAATCCTAGTTAACTAATTAGTTATTACAACACAAATTGAATAGTTAAGCGCATTAACTAATTAAGTACAAAACCAAGCATTAGCTAGCTAAGTAAAAAAGCTAAGTAAAGAAGTAAAAGAAGAGGTCCTCAGGGTGAGAAGTGCATGCATGCTCGGTCGCCTCGTTCGGAAATCCATCGCTATGCCCCAACTTGCCTTTATTTGCAATTGTTCTCAAGACATTGCATAAAACTCCAGATAGCTTCTATTCCATCATGGGAACCTCCAGGAGCATTGCTGACCACTTATTGGTGATGTAGACCACCTGCCGACCACTTACATTTGCTGCAGACCAGAAAAAGTGGTCAGCCAGCTACTTTATCTGGTCTTCCGACCAGAAAATTCTGCACAACTCTGGTTTGCTGCAATAGAGAACAATGAGGGGCAGAGCAGTGTATTTGCAAGATATGTGTGCACAACCACCCTCCCTATCATTTCTTAGGCTCAAGGGAGTGTGGTTCTCGACTCTCGGGCCACCAACCAAGCATCGCAATGTACGATGGCCGAGAAGCCAAGATTGCACAATTCAATGTAAATGAATACACAAATAACACATAAGGGCCTTAACCTCTATCATGTTTGATCAAGAGGGTCGGCGTCCGAGAAATGAGGCACGTTTCATTACTTTAAGTATGAAACATCCCTCATTTCTCGTGTTTGGATTGACGTCCAATCCAAACACATACAATGAAACATGATCAACTTAACAAAGCTAATGGCATGCAAACTCAATGCAATGCATGCACATGCAAACACAATGCAAACAACGACATTCAAACAACATGCTCAATGGACTTAAACCGAATATGGACAGACCTCAATCATGCCAAAACAGTGGCCATAATGCTATGAAAGGATGGTATGAAAGGCAAGATGATGCATGCACATGCATTGGCTCATCAATTAAGCATAATTGGCTCATCAATTAAGCATAAGAGCACAACTCTCAAACATGATTAAGATGTGACAAACATGGAAGTGTGACAACACTATATGTTCTGAAATCAAGTATGAAATGATGCCAAATCATCCAAACAACACAAGCATGGCATGCTAGGAGGCTCAAAGCTTGAAACTAGCATAGGCACTTGCACTACAGCTATGCAAAACATGAACCATATGGCCAAGACAACCCAAAACAGTCCTAGAGCATGTCAAAATGATGCTAATACATGTATGGACTAGAGCTAACACATGCTAGCATGAAGGGCAAGAAGCATGGAGTATGCAAGGCCAATAAGGAAGGTTACACTACACCTACCAAAACCAAGCATGAGATGACTTTGCCAACAAAAATCAGAGTTATGGCATGTCAAAATAACACCAAAAAAGGGCTAATACCAAGTCAATACATGCTAGAATAACAAGCTCACTCATTAGGCATGCAAGGCTAGCAAAGAGGACTTACACTACAAGTGTAAGAAGAAAATGAGAGATGCTCTAACCAAACAAAAACAGAGTTGTATCATGGCAAAATAAGACCAAAAACACACTGAAATGGTAGCCCAAAAGCCTAGGCAACATGGCATACACAATGGTTCATACTTAAGGCATAAAGCACCAACCCTCCAAAGCATTGAATGAGTGAAAGATGTGAGGGCATGACAATGAAACATGCTCTGAAATATCATTCCAAATGATGCTAAATCATGCAAATAGACCAAGCAATGGCTATACAAAGAAAGGCTTGCATGACCAAAAAAACATAAAACAGAGCTTAAGCATGGTAAAACATGAGTAAAATCTTGCTGGAGTTGAGCCAAAATCATGCTAGAATGACGGTCAAAAGCATGATGCATGTTAGGCTAGTGAATGGAATTGCACTACAAGTGCAAGGAGCATGCAAGATGTTAACAAACCAACCTTAGACAGAGCTATAGCATGCTAAAACAACACCAAAAACTTGCTGAGATAGGACCCAAACATGCTAGAAAGATGAGCTATCAATACAAGCATGTAAGGCTAGTATGCAAAATTTACACTACAAGTGTATAAAGCATGCAAGGGGTGATTCAACCAAGCTGAAACAGAGATATGTCATGCCAAAATAACACAAAAAACAAGTTGAGAACAAGCCAATACATGCTAGGAAACCATGCTCAAACATGAGGCCAACAAGGCAAGCAACCAAGATACAAGGAGAGGGGATGACCCCCTCCTATTGGGGACCTCAAAACACCTTTTCCACCACTGAAATTCCTCTGAGTTTCAATGGTGAGAAGGTCAAAAAGAGGTGGTCCCAATAGCTTAAAAAGATAGCACAAAACAAGGCCAAACAAGGCACAAGAGGGGATGGACCACCCCCCAACACCAACAAAGCCTTAAACAAACATGTTAAGGACTAAAAATCAGAACTTTTTTTAGTTTAAAGTTAAGCCTAAAACATCATGCAAATGGGGCCAAAAGCTTAATCAAAACAAAGCTTTAAAGGGGTTAGAGACTTACCCTTGTAGAACAACTTCACGGAAGCAACTCCAGCAACCTTTTTGGATCAAAAGCAGTCCAAAAAACACAAAACCAGCTTCAAGAAGCCTTAGCAACAAGAGTGTGGTGTTTCACTATGTGTTTGTGTGCAAAAGTGTGAAGGAAAGGCACTTTTAAGCACAAATATGAAGAGAAAAAGCAATATAGAGATAAAGGTGTATATCTATAGCTCTAAGCAAAAATCTGAACCTGGAGAATGGAGAGAGGGCCTCCCTTATATAGAAAACCAAGCCTCAAGCTTGTTAAACAAGTTTAAGCTAGATGCAATCCCTCATGGAGGATGGTTTCTGTGCTTACCAGCTGTCACAGCTGGCAAGAAAATATCTGCAGGAAAACTGCCGACCAGTTGAAGTAGTCAGCCAGCTACTTGTGCTGGTCGGCTGACCAGCACAAGTGGTCTGCAAGAATAAAAAGTGGTCGGCAGGGGGGGAGAGGTGGTCTGCACCAAGAAAGCAAGGTGGTGGCATGGCTACCGACCACTTTTGGTGGTCCAAAGACCACCAAGACCAGCTGGCCGACCAAAAAACTGACTGGCTGGTAACAAAATTGGTTTTTAGGGAGAGAAACTGGTCTACAACCCCTATTCCACCCTCCAAGCAAGAAAAACAAGGCTTGTGTCAAAACCAAACCAAAAAGGATGAAAGACAAAAGTCTACAGGTCAAGGCACGCAGCAAAAAACCTCGAAAACTAGTCTACAGGCGCCAAAAGTGGTCTACGGGAGGGAAAAGTGGTCTACGGCCACAAAAGGTGGTCTACAAGACCTCTGTGTCCCTCTAGACCAAGGCAACAAGGCGTGGTCCGAAAACCAGGCCAAAAGGAGAACGTTAAGCGGTCCCGAGACAAGGCGCACGGCCGAAGGCTCCGGAAACCAGAAACTAGCCTACAGGAGAGAAAAGTGGTCTACGGACCTCTCTCTCCCTCCAGAGAAGGTCAACAAGGCTTGGTCCACAAACCAAACCAAAACACAAAGAGTTCAGAGGCCTGAAGGCAAGGTACTCAGCCGAAAACTCTGAAAACTCGAAACGAGCACAAACATGCGCGGTCACTGAGCGCTCAAACGATGACGTCTGAGTCTTAAGGTCGATCAAAAATGGGGTGTCTATGCTTTAACACTGATCATGTTTGATAGTCTTTCCATACACAAGACAAACAGGTAGGGGGATAGAGGATCTCCCTGCCTCAACGCCTTTTCAGGTTTGAATTCCTCCAAAGGCTTCCCATTCCACAAAATAGCCATGTTCACAGTGGTAACACAACACATAATCAAATCAATAAGTTTCTTATTGAAACAAGATTCCTCAAGAGTTTGTTCCAAGAATGCCCAGGAGATGTTGTCATACGCTTTCTCCAAGTCTATTTTAAGAATCATTCCTCCCACTTTTCCTTTTTTAGAGTTTAAGGTATGGATAATTTCCTAAGAGATGATAATATTATCATTAGTGGATCTGCCAGGAACAAAACTACTTTGGTTTGGTCTCACAAGATTACAAAGAAGGGGCCTTATTCTACTAACCAAAATTTTAGCTATGATCTTGTAAGTCACATTACACAGACTAATGGGTCGAAATTGTTTAATGGTCTCAGGGTTTTCCATTTTATGAATGAGAGCAACTAAGGTTCTATTGATGACAGAGGGTATGGTGTGGGTAGCAAAACAATTTTTAACAAAATCACACACAGCCGAACCAATCACCTACCAATAAGTATGATAGAAAATGGCCTGGAATCCATCTCTACCTGGGGCTTTAATAGCCTTAATATTCTTCACAGCCTTCCACACTTCCTCATTAATGACATCAATCATAAGATCACTATTCTCTTCACTACTAATTGTGTAAAGGGCCAGATTATTCCAGTGAGTCAAAGTGGTGTTAGAACTCTGAGTGAACAAATTAGTTAAGTAATTAGTCACCAACATCTTCAAATCTTCAGGCCTTTCAACCCAAACACCATCTTGCCCTTTTAAAACATCAATCTTCTTTTTCCTCTTTTTAGTCAGGGTGAGGAGGTGGAAGAATTTGGTGTTTTTATCACCTTGGGTGATCCATTTAGATCTCGATTTCTGGAACCAGAGAATTTCCTCTTGGTAGAGGACTTTATTATACTGATCAATAAGATTCATCTCCAACACATGAAGGTTATGGGAATAGATGTTTGCTTGGGATTTCTGAATGCCATCAATCCTCCCAAGCAGCCATCTTTTCCTCTAAAATATGTTACCAAAAATTTCTTTATTCCAATGACTAGTCGTGTGAGCTAGGTTATCTAATTTACTTAAGAAAGACTCTTGGTTATTCAACCAATTATCCTCCACCACAGTTTGGAACTCTTCATGAGATATCCAGGCAACCTCAAACTTGAAAAGCTTACAAGAAGGATTATAAGGGGACTTACCTTGGGTAAAGATTACCATTGGGGAATGGTCAGAATATGTTCGAGGAAGATTTCTAACCAGCCCCTCGGGAAATGTAGTTCTCCATTCACTGTTGCACATAGCTCTATTGAGTCTTAGCATTGTATTAGCCCATCCTTTCCTGTGGCTGGCGGGGAAGAAAAGTGGTTTTTAGGGAGAGAAACTGGTCTACAACCCCTATTCCACCCTCCAAGCAAGAAAAACAAGGCTTGTGTCAAAACCAAACCAAAAAGGATGAAAGACAAAAGTCTACAGGTCAAGGCACGCAGCAAAAAACCTCGAAAACTAGTCTACAGGCGCCAAAAGTGGTCTACGGGAGGGAAAAGTGGTCTACGGCTACAAAAAGTGGTCTACAAGACCTCTGTGTCCCTCTAGACCAAGCCAACAAGGCGTGGTCCGAAAACCAGGCCAAAAGGAGAACGTTAAGCAGTCCCGAGACAAGGCGCACGGCCGAAGGCTCCGGAAACCAGAAACTAGCCTACAGGAGAGAAAAGTGGTCTACGGACCTCTCTCTCCCTCCAAAGAAGGTCAACAAGGCTTGGTCCACAAACCAAACCAAAACACAAAGAGTTCAGAGGCCCGGAGGCAAGGTACTCAGCCGAAAACTCCGAAAACTCGAAACGAGCACAAACATGCGCGGTCACCGAGTGCTCAAACGATGACGTCTGAGTCTTAAGGTCGGTCAAAAATGGGGTGTCTATGCTTTAACACTGATCATGTTTGATAGTCTTTCCATACACAAGACAAACAGGTAAGGGGATAGGGGATCTCCCTACCTCAACACCTTTTCAGGTTTGAATTCCTCCAAAGGCTTCCCATTCCACAAAATAGCCATGTTCACAGTGGTAACACAACACATAATCAAATCAATAAGTTTCTTATTGAAACAAGATTCCTCAAGAGTTTGTTCCAAGAATGCCCAGGAGATGTTGTCATACGCTTTCTCCAAGTCTATTTTAAGAATCATTCCTCCCACTTTTCCTTTTTTAGAGTTTAAGGTATGGATAATTTCCTAAGAGATGATAATATTATCATTAGTGGATCTGCCAGGAACAAAACTACTTTGGTTTGGTCTCACAAGATTACAAAGAAGGGGCCATATTCTACTAACCAAAATTTTAGCTATGATCTTGTAAGTCACATTACACAGACTAATGGGTCGAAATTGTTTAATGGTCTCAGGGTTTTCCATTTTATGAATGAGAGCAACTAAGGTTCTATTGATGACAGAGGGTATGGTGTGGGTAGCAAAACAATTTTTAACGAAATCACACACAGCCGAACCAATCACCTACCAATAAGTATGATAGAAAATGGCCTGGAATCCATCTCTACCTGGGGCTTTAATAGCCTTAATATTCTTCACAGCCTTCCACACTTCCTCATTAATGACATCAATCATAAGATCACTATTCTCTTCACTACTAATTGTGTAAAGGGCCAGATTATTCCAGTGAGTCAAAGTGGTGTTAGAACTCTGAGTGAACAAATTAGTAAAGTAGCTAGTCACCAACATCTTCAGATCTTCAGGCCTTTCAACCCAAACACCATCTTGCCCTTTTAAAACATCAATCTTCCTTTTCCTCCTTTTAGTCAGGGTGAGGAAATGGAAGAATTTGGTGTTTTTATCACCTTGGGTGATCCATTTAGATCTCGATTTCTGGAACTAGAGAATTTCCTCTTGGTAGAGGACTTTATTATACTGATCAATAAGATCCATCTCCAACACATGGAGGTTATGGGAATAGATGTTTGCTTGGGATTTCTGAATGCCATCAATCCTCCCAAGCAGCCATCTTTTCCTCTAAAATATGTTACCAAAAATTTCTTTATTCCAATGACTAGTCGTGTGAGCTAGGTTATCTAATTTACTTAAGAAAGACTCTTGGTTATTCAACCAATTATCCTCCACCACTGTTTAGAACTCTTCATGGGATATCCAGGCAGCCTCAAACTTGAAAAGCTTACAAGAAGGATTATAAGGGGACTTACCTTGGGTAAAGATTACCATTGGGGAATGGTCAGAATATGTTCGAGGAAGATTTCTAACCAGCCCCTCGGGAAATGTAGTTCTCCATTCACTGTTGCACATAGCTCTATTGAGTCTTAGCATTGTATTAGCCCATCCTTTCCTGTTGTTTGTTCAGGTCAACCATGATCCAGAACACCCTAGATCCATAATATTACAACGATTCATTCTATCTGCAAAATTTTTAGTCCTCCTCTGATCTTGGCTGCTATTATGGTTGCCTACAAAGCTTCTTTTTTCCTCTTGGCTAGCAAAGTCGTTAAAATCACCAGCTATCATCCATGGTGCTGAAGTGGTCTGAGCAATGTTCTCCAAACTATTCCACAGTTCCTCCCTCTTGCTGTGCACAGGGCTAGCATAAACAGCCGAGAGAAGCCACTCAGGGTACTCATGTTTTGCAATCTTAGCTATGATAAGTTGTGAACTTGCTTCAGTTACTCTTACATTAACAGAAATTCGGTTCCAAAGCATCCAGATACCCCCACTTCAGCCTATAGGATCAACATGGGCTGAGGTCGTGAATCCCATTTGGTTGAAGAACATACCCATTGAGGCTAGATCCACTTTAGTTTCCATAAGGACCATCAAATCTGGTTTATGGATCAGAACTAATTCACGCAGATTCCTTTTAAATTTCTTGTTTCCAGCACCCCAACAATTCCAAATAAGCAAATCCATGTGAGTACTGATATGGTTAGGTAGTGGGCTCTGGTCAGCAATCCCCAAATACCCCTTTGTTGTCTTGAGATTGTCCTACATCGTTTGTGTTGCCACTGCGAATAGCATGTGCTTTTCCTGTCTCACTTTGATTTGTCTCCATGGTTGAATCTTTAAATTTACTTCCTCGATCCACCCTTCTGAGGCGATGCGGTGAAATGCTTCTTTCTCTGGAGTGAGGTACACTGTGATTCTGTTCTGATTCACTACGTGATACTCCATTGGATAGTTCTCACCTTCGTCTTCCATCTTTATCTAGAGGCTCTCTAGTTATGGTGTAAGGGTTTGTTTATAATAGGGATAGAGTGTCTATGGTGCTGGGTATGGAGGTAGTTAGATGTGTAGGTGATGCTGGCATTTGTGTATGAACCACACCATTGTTGTCTGAGTTCTGATGGCATGTTTGGGATTTCTGACATGCCTTCTTTTCCAGTCCGATTTCTTTTTTGTTTTTATCCTTGGCTTTTTCAGTTGACCCACCTAGGATAATCCTCTTCTCATTTGGGCTTACATGGGTCTTGTACTTAAAGCCCATCTTATTTGTGCTTCTACTCGTTTAGCCTTGTTCTTTAATTCCTTGGGTTTGGTTTTCTAGCTCACCAGCCTCTCTTAGTATGTCATATCTACTGCCCATTTGGACTTGGTTGCCTCTATTAGTCGTCTGGCCTTTAGGCTTCCTCTTATGATTTGTGGCTTTTATCCAAGGCCCATATTTGATCTGGCCTACTTCAGTATCTTCCATGACTTGATATGGTCTTTGGTTTTTTCTTTTTTGGCCCATAGGTGTCTCTGTATCATTCTCACTGTGTTGCTGAATTGGTTTCTCCATCGTCGTCGGCGAGCGATCACTGCAAACCTCTTTCCGATGACCTGCCCTGCTACAATAAAAACAAAGTGAGTGAATGTGTTCATATTCGACTCCATATGTGTACTTACCGACAGTGAAGTGTGAAATCAGAGGTTTCCGAAGATCGATCTCAATGCACACGCGAGCATATTTCCCTCAAGCTGCCATGGCTATGTTGATGTCAACCTTCAGTGGATTTCCCAATACTTTGGTTACGTGATATAGTACTTTTTCATTATAGTATTCTATGGGTAGATTGGGGAATCAGACCCATATCGCAATTGTATCCTCCTCGGCATCATCAGATTTAAAGTCTTGTTGCCACTTTCTCACTGTCACATAGTGGTCCATTGCAATCCAAGGTCCACCAGTGTAAACCTTAGTGTAGTCATCCATCATGTCGAATTTCACTATGAAAAACCCATTACCAATATCTAGAGTTTCAAAGTTAGCTTGTAGGCTTCAGATTTTGGTCATTTTTGCCACGAATAGCTTATACCCTATGGTTTTCCCAAGTAATCTAACAATCAGGCACTTCTTCCACAGTTCCTTTATCTTTTTCAAAAGTGCCAGAGGGAGTTTGATAGTGGGAATTCCTCCATTATTTTCACTTCCTTCTTGTTGTCCTTCTGTCATATTTGTATTTGTAATGTCATCCTCCTCATCAGAGGAAAGTTCATCCACATCACAATCAAAATTCTTCTCATTCCCTCTCTCATTAAACCTAGATCTTAGCAGAGCTTGCTTGAAGGATCGGTTCCCCTTGTTCAAAGTAGTACAATCTATGCATTCTGGGTTGCCTTTCTCCTTCTGGATCTGATTTCTATCCTCCATAGCTTCTTCAGCGTAGCCTGGGTCAGATAGATTGGCATCATTATCGTTAGATTGCGATTGTGGCTTAGCCATCATATTAACTTTTGGATCCAAATTGCCCTTGATTTTTTTTGTGCTTCGGACCAGATGCTCTTCCTCCTCCGGCGAGCTTCCTTTCTACAATCGTAGTTCGCCGGACTGTGAAATCTCGCTAACGGTCATATTTTCAGAGTCAAATCTCTCTCTATTCACTTTTTTGTTTTCGATTACTAACAAGAGACTATAGTTTGAAGACCAAACCAAAGGCTCTACTCTCAACCGCAACCAATAGGCATAATCAATGGCCAATACTTTGCCATGATATGGAAGAGATTATCGAATATGTTGTATGCAATCATTCAATGAAATGGCAATAGTGAGTCAAAACAGTCAAAAAAAATTCCAGCAATGTACCGCCATTTGTGTTAGTGTTAGCCATTAATTGTCTATCTTCCAAAGCTGAAGAAATGAAGCTTCTAAAAACTCTCACACTCTAAGTTCTCTATGTTGTGAATATTTTTGCATGTATATAGATAAACTACTTTTCTATGGTAAGGTGGCTCTCTGCATACCCAAAGAAGAAAGGGAATGCTTTGAATTTAATGGAGGCAAATTAACAAAATTTTCCAAAAAATAGCAATAACATCAATTGAGGCCAAGGCTATGAATCCCATATTGACTGTAGTACTATTTTTACTATTGGTACGTATTGTTGGTGTATTTATGTGCTTCGGTAAACTTGCCTGTATCCATGAATATTATCCATCGTCTACTATATTATATATGTGTTATGCATTATATCTCTAAATGTATGAATATACAATAAAACGGGTTGAAGTATAGTAATCTCGCTTTCTTTAAGGAGATTCATGTCCTTTTCGATTAGTAAAGTCACCGGACTCAATCAACCCTGCACAAATAGATGAGTCCAAAGCTCCACCACAAAAACACCCATACAGATTGTCTAAATCTCTATATAAAAACACAATATAAAGAATGTGGGGATATATTTTCTGAGTTCCAACACGTGGCAAGGTGACGCCGACGTGTCAGCCGAGGTGCCACGTGTTCTGGTCGTGACGCCGAGGTTATCTCCGAAGATATCGTAATCCGAGATAAATGGATAAGGGGCAAGAGTCCTAGAATAAAGAGGGAACTCAACCTAGATATGGACAAGAGTCCTAGATTGGGAGAAGACTTCAGTTTGGGTAAAGATAAGACTCTTAGAGAGTTTATCCTAATCTTACTGGGAGTCCAAGATTAGCAGTAATCCTGAGTCCATAGACGTTAGGCTTCTATTGGGACTAGGTTTATGTTGGGTATAAAAGAGAGGTACCCCCATGGGTCTAAGGTATGCTTTTGATACTCAAGCTTGTGAGTTTAGCACTTGATTTATCTTTGAAAGATATACTGACTTGATCGTCGGAGTGCCCCCGGGTGGACGAACCACCGCCGGAATCTTCTCTTTCTGTTGCAGGTCAGCCAGGTGCCATCTATTCTGCCGGTGCTCTCCAGCTGGTTACTAAGCGGGCAGTGTGGTCAGAAAATCACCCACACAAAGAATATTTTCCTTGATCACATAGTACTCTTTCGTATTCATAGCCATGGCATTCAGCTCCTTTTTTTTTTAGTATTCAGCTTATACATGTAATGAACATGAACAGTTCTCATATGTGCTAAATGAATCAATAAATGAGAATGCCATTGCCAACAAATGACTAAGAGGCTAAGTTAAACTAGGGTAAATTACATTTTAGCGACCTCAACTATTGTCATGTATCATTTTATTCCCTCATCTACTAATTTTTTCAATTTGATCCTTTAGGATAAAAATACCCTTTTGTTAATAAAATAAAGGGAAAATTATATTGGTAAGTCCTTAAATTTTTATAGTTTGTATTATTTTGGTCCTTACACTGTTAATTAGCTCAATTTTGACCCTTAATTTTAGATTTTGTGTCAATTTGGTCTAATTGATAATATCGTTAGTGTTTTTTTTTAAATAAAAAATTTAAAAAAAATTATCACTAAATTGGTTTAAATTAACTCACTAAGTTGAGTATGTTTATAATTTTTTTTTCTTATAAGTATGACACCGAACCCGCTACAGAGCTCGAATTACTCAGGCTCGAAGTTGGCTCGAATTTTAAACGGCGTCGTTTTTGTATTTTTTTTTTTTTTTGAAGGAAGAAGACGAAGAAGAGAAGGAGGGGGAGGAGGGGGAGGAAGGACTGGAGGGGGCCTCAAAAATGGAGGAGGAGGGGGCGGACGCGATCGGCGGAGGCGAGGGACGGACCTGCGACGACGACCTGCTGCCTACGACGACGAGCTGCCTGTGACGACGAGCTGCTGCCAGCGACGACGACAAGCTGCCTGCGACGACTCTCGCCTCTGTTTCTCGCCTCCTCTGTAACAGAAGAATGAAGAAAAAGAATGAAAAAAAAAAAATCGATTTCGAGCAGATTCGAGCCACACATTTCGAGCACTCAAACATTTTCGGTATGACACATGACACTTATCTGTTTGTTTTTTTATAAAAAAAATACTAAGAGTTGTAATTAATTGAACCAAATTGATACAAAATCTAAAATTAAGAGTCAAAATTGAGTTAATTGAAAATATAAGGACCAAGATGACACCAGGGGTAAAATGTAGAGATCTCCGGTGTAATTCATCCTAAATTAAATTACACTTCACCCCCTTGAACTATCACCCAATATCATTTTACCCCTCAATTAAAAAATGATGCATTTGTCACTTTGGATTACAAATTTATACCAGTGTAAATATTTTGTATAGATTAAAAAAATTGACATGTGACTTACATATATCAAAGTTTTTTATTTTGTATTTTTTGGTCTTCGGTGAATTTTTTTTATTTTTAAAATTGACTAACATATGAAAAAAAAATTACTAAAAAGAAAAATAAAACTTAAAAACTATATTTTGGCTTAAATCAAATAATTCTTTTAGTTGAGGAGGTAGATTGATATTGAATGATAGTTCAAGGGGGTAAAATGTAATTTACCTCTATAGTTGAAAGAGTATTTTTGTCATTAAGGTCCAAATTGAAAAAATTAATAAATGAAGGGGTTAAGTGTTACAATTTTTAATTTAAGAGGGTAAAATGGTATGAGATAAGAATTGAGGGGGTAAATTTTAATTTGCCTTTAAACCAATCATGAGAAATTCTATTTCCACACACTTACCTTAATACACATCATTTCTCAGTACACACACCTATTAATTTGATTATTAATTATTCTTCTCAATCCACATACAAAATATTTCAATTATACCCTTCACTTATACCATTATACACACACCACCTCAACCTTTCTTCCACACACTTACTGAAAATTGCAGACCCAAACCACCACTCATAAAACTCCCTTATCTTTTCCCATGAGTTTAGTATGGTTGATGTAGAACTCTACTAATTATGACTAATAATTATCATGATTACCATTGAAAAATTGCAACTTTGTGCTTTCTTTTGATTCAACCTGGTGAGATGGTTCAATTTATCAGCAGAGTGTTTTCTTAGAGA